GGGACACAGAGAGAGAGAGAGAGAGAGGCAGATGTATAATGACCTGGGATAAAGGAGGATAGGAAAGAGGGAGAGGGGAGAGCTAGAAAGTCTTGTCCATTGTACCGGACCTGTACAACGCTTATCGACGGTGATTGCTTCATTGCGGACTAGAACGGGGATGCTGGATGTAAGGGCGTGATGCATACAACAGCGCGGCTCGGTGTTATCGGGTTATCGGCCGTAATGCACACGCACGCCGACCACCTTTCTACTGGGTTAACATTTCAATCTGGAAAATGCAAACCGTCCCCACCTCTCTCGCCTGGCTTGCTCGCTCGTTTTCCCCCCAATCCGCTCTCTCTCACTCTCTCTCTCTCTCTCTTACTCTCTCGCCATCGCTCGTTTGCATATTGTTCGCTTGTTGTTCCCGCTCGCCGAACGGACAAATTTGTCTACACGGCCGTACCGATTGATTCTGCGATTGTGATTCTGCGATTTTGTTGTTCAATAGAGATTCGCGCATGCCGATACAAAATTAAAACGATGAAATTGGCACTCTCTCTCTCGCGCGCGATACCCTAGCGCGATAGCAGCTTCGAAAACGGTCGATATTCATCCGCAGAATGTGCGATGAGTTATCCAACGGTGAAAACGCGCGGTAAGAGACCGGGAAAAGAGTGGAGGAAACACGGTGAACACGCGTGCGACCGTGAACATCGAAAAGAGCAATCGGGCGCTTGTTCTCTCGATGCAGCAGTTCTCTTTACACCCTCTGTGTGTGTGTGTGTGTGTGTGTGTGGATGCTGAACGGAGTCTGCTCGGCTGCGTCTAGATGCGTTATCCCACATGTGAGACGAGCGAAAATGCCGTCCGCGCTCTTGTTTTTTTTTCCAGCCGCCTTTTCGTTCGCGGTGAAGCGGGGCCCACCCGCCACCCTCCCTTTCTCCATACAGGCGTGTAACGACGATGCGCAAACAATGACGAGGGTTACGTAACAGCTATGCACGATGCAAACACACCGTGTTGCGCTAAGCGCGTATCTGTAGCGAGGGGGTGTTGGGCGCCGCTAACAGGGACTACGGTGGCGACGTCCAGGACGAACAATGCGTATCACACGGTAGTCTGTCTGAAAATGCCTGGCGCTCGTTCCCTGTCGTGCCAAACCTCGGCGCCAAACGCGAGCAAGAGGAGCGCGATATCGGTGCGCTTTCGAAAAATAGAACGAGAGAGAAAGAGAGAGAGAGAGAGAGAGAGAGAGAGAGGAAGAGGGACAAAGAGGTAAAAGGCAAAGAAGCAATACGCGTGCTACACCCAAGTGTAATATCCGACAGAAATTTCCGATAGTTTGAAGCTCTTGAAACGCTTCGAAGTAAAGAATGGATCGGCAAAACTTGGCGCTATTCGCTCAATTTTTTTTTTTTTTTTTTTTAACTATTATTTAAAACAGTATCCGACAATTCTTATTTGTTCGCGCGATTGATCTCTAAGAAGTTTTCGAAAGCATACGCAAAACTATGAGATCAGTGATCGCGTATTATATGAGATCTTGATTGTAAATTTGAAAATTCAACATCACCTGAGACACTTCGTTTTTCAAAGTGCGCAGTTATATTCGTTTTTCTCGACAGGTCGAAGCGAAATTAGCCATCCAGTGTTTTCTTAACGATTCAGTGGAGCACCGTCGCGCACACAGTCTGTAGAGTTACGGAATTTCATCGGTTGACCGCAGAACAAGAGGAGGCGGTGGCGATCGCGCTTCCACGAAGCGAGTGCATCGAGGTGAGGTTCGACGACGGGATTGTCCTTCATTACGCACGAAGGAAAGTGCAGTCATCGGCGCGCATACCCGTAGGTATGCACGCACAGAGGCATTAGCTCCCCCAAAGCCCAGCCGGTATTAATTCCACTAATTGGACGTGGTTTGGGTCGCGGCAAACATCGGTCCCCTACCGATCACCCTCTCCGATGACTTTGTTCGGATATATATGCGCGTATCGATCTTATGATCGATCGCTCGCAAGACAAAGAACAATTTTTATTTTCTGGCGGTCGGCGACCGCGTTTCGGATAGTCGCAACGCCGACTTACTTTACTCGCGCGATTTCGACAAGATTTGGTGCAAATCTTCTCTGTCGGTTGTTGACCACAATCAATTTGCTTATCCGAGATGCTTTGTAACGTAATCGCAATACTTTCTTCATCTTGTTGCAAAAATCCTAAAGAGAAACTAGAAATTTTACTCTTGATTATGATCTATCTTTCTCTTAAAAATATATTGTTATTTGGTGTTACTTTATTTATGCAAGTTTTATCACTTAACAGAGCGTTAAAATAAGCTAGAAAGAGTTCATTTCAAAGTTAATGGCGAACCTACTTGATCATCATCGCGTTACCGCGCGAACGACACTAATTGTAACTGACTACGAAGAAAAAGAGAGAGAAAGAAAGAGAATAGTCAATTGAATTAATACAAAACACAACACACTTCTGTATTATATAATTTACGTCGACACAAAGATCTTGTATTAGCAAATGTATATCTGTCGGACTCTTTTTGTATCGCAAAGCGCTTGTATTCAATGAAAAGATAGGGCCGGTGAGTCTCGCTTCGTTTGGGGATCAATGAAGTGACGGCATCAGCTGTTTCGAGTAAACGTATCTATGAGACCGTAGAATATGCACACACGAGCATAAATACGCCTGTGCGCTCGCGTATGTGTGCGCCCGTACAAACGTATTGGTATAGATACATATACGGCGATACTTACATCGTGAAGGGTCTCTCTCTCTCTCTTTCTCTCTGGTGAATCTGGGTCACCGGGCCGAATGAAGGACGATGAGGGGTTGACTGGCCGAAAGAGAGAAGAAAACGCTAGACCGTGTTTTCCCTTCTCGTCGCGATCAGCCGCAGAAAATGCCCGTAACGAGATAACCAAAGTTGGAAACTTTTCTGACGCGCGTGATAATTTCAGCGGCTTGAGTAAATTTAAGATGTGCACGTGTAAATAAGCTAATCGTCAAAAGAAAAAGTGCACATGCGCTTTACTGATTTAATTTAAATTAAGTGAATAAAATGCATCCTCTTATATACACGCACATGTACATAATATAGACTTGTTTCGGACGTGACAATTTGATTTTTTATCACACAAATTATATATTTTTCAGTAATTCTACTTAATGTTAAGATATCGTATATACGTATTTGATTTTTGCTCGCTCGTGTAAAATTGCTCGCATTTGCGTGCATATATTATAGAATTCTCTCTCTCTCTCTTTCTCTCCATCTCTATCCCTCGAATCAAGATACTCGATAGCGGCAAAGTTCACCTTTAGGAACTGTCGGCGGATACGGGCGCCTTGGGTATGGCACAAAGATATTAAGCACCCATACCCTAACCATGTCGAGCTACGGAGAGCGTAGACTATCCTATGTGCCGGGGGGAGGGGGACTGTGGTAGGGATAGAGAGGCGGAGGAAATGTGGAAGCGTGCGCGGCGGAGAGGGGGTAAGTGGACTAAGGGTAGGCAAAAGGCGTAAGGGGGTGGTGGAGTCAGGCAGGAGAGAGATCGCAAGGAAAGCGGAGGTACCTACAGAAGAAATAAGTGCGCGCGTGTAATGCTGATGGCGAATATGGTAGAGAGAGGAGATCTGAGGGAAGAGTAAAGAGAGGGTGGTCGAGAAGGATGGTGGCGAGGAGAAGGAGGAGGACGAGGAGGAGGTGAAGGAAGAGGGAGCTAGCGGAGGAGGGAGGTGGGAAGAGGAGGAGCGGGATTCGCGAACGGCAGAAGGGTGAAGAAGGGAGGCAGTGCGCGCGAAAGCAAGCGATCGATTCGAACGTTGGCGACATTCTTCGTCGTAGGGACAGGGAACAGTGAGAGAAAGAGGGAAAGAGATGAAGACACACAGGGCAATACGTGTGGCGCGTGCGACGCAGAGGGGGATGACGAAAGAGAAAGATAAAGTGAGAGAGTAGGATAGACGGGAGCGAGTGAAGCAAGAAGCACAAGGCAGAGAGGGCTAGTTGCACACAGGAGAGAATGTGAACTCGGAGAACGCGCGCGTGGAGGACGATACGAGGAAACGAAGAGGGGAAGAGAGCAGAGGGATAAGAATAGAAATAGAGGAGAAGAACGAAAGAAGAATTGAAGTGACGCATAGGATTTTGAAGAATTTGTTGAGCAAAGGAGCAAAAATAAAAAAAAAAAAAGATGCGGAAGAAAAAATGTAAGAAAAACAAATATATACGAGAAAGGAATTAAAATCGAATCAAAGAATTAAGCGAACGGGTGAGAATACAAGGTAAGTAGATGCGTGTAATGAAGTGGCTGCGATCGAAACACGACGACAGAAATGGTGCATACAGTTAAAAAAAGAAGAGAAACAAGTCAAGAAGAGTCAAGAGATTGTTACTAGGTAACAATCAAGACGTCCAAGGGAGGAATAGTACGCGAATAAGAGACAAGAGTGAAAGATACATAAAAGTAGAAGTAGAGATAGGAGGAGAGAGCGAGAGAGAAAGAGCGAGTGAGGGTGAGGTGAGGAAGGCGCGCTCGAGTTAAGGCAGGAAAGAGAACGTAAGACCTACAAAGAAAGAAGACAAACTCGGGCGCGAGGTAAAAGAAGAAATCCCCCACTCGCTCCGATGGTACGTTCCAGTCGTACTGTCCTCAGACTCTCTGCGCGTCTGCGTCTGGTTGTCTCTGTGTGTTGGTAGCCCCCGGAACCGTCCTCGTCGGCGTAGTCGTCGTCGTCGTCTACTACGTCGGTGGCAGAAGGTTGGCAAATAGTGGGGACGAGCGGGGGGCGGTTGGCCGAGCCGACGCCACTCGGGGGGAAGGTACGAAAGGCGTAGACAGTGCGAGCCTGCCGTCCAATAGCGAGAACAGCCGCCCCGGTGGCTCCGCCAACCGGATAGTCGGGTGCGCGCACAGAACGCCCATCCTCCCCGTTTGTCGGAGCTCCCACTGATGTTTTTATTTATTACATCTGTGACTGGGTAGGGAAATACTCCCGACTCGACCGAGAGAGCGTTTGCTACTTTGAGAACGAGCGACGCGCGTCCCTGCGAGTTACCGCGATAGCCCGTCTCCGTCGTCGTCGTCGTCATCCTACACTGTCATCTTATCACTGACACTATCACTATCAGTCGTACGGTTCTTTCGCGTTTTACGTGGCTCTCTCTTTATCAAAGTCTCGGTGTAAAAAAAAGTTCTGTTCGTTTGTTGTGACATGAAGAAGACATCGTTATCGTGAATCAGTGAACAAGTTTAGTACGTCTCGCTGACGGACTCAGTGCGGACGGATCATCGTCGCCGTTTTCTTCCTCGGAGTCTCACTGTCGTCATCGTTGCGAACAATCTCGCAAACGAAAGAGTTCAGATATCTTCGCGATGGATGGGTGAGAATAAGGTATGCGCGTTGCAGCAGACTGAAAGAAAGTTAGTTATGGACATAAAGGTTTCGTGTGCATGTGAGAACTGAAAACATTGTGCGGGTCTGACGTGTGGCGAGAGAAACGCGCGATATAATTGTTTACAGTGACGCGGCGGCGCGTTTGAAAAACGCTGTTCACAGCGTGATTTAAATCGGTAAACATCGATAACGATATATGTATATACATATACATGTTAATTGTCGGAGTGTCTGAAGAGATACGCAAAAAGAGAGAGAATCGAATAAAACGACCTTGAAGATGCATTGAGGCGACACGCTTCTCGGGACTTGCTCCGATATTCGCCAGCGTGAACACAGTGATACGGCAACGTGAACATCTGGGGCCACGGAGCGTATCGCTGGGGCGAGCTGCAGGACGCGCCGGAGTGCCTCGTTGTCAACACGAGTCGCAGGAAGAACAGGGACGCGCGTTTCCGACCCCCCATGGACCACGGAGCAATGGACAGCTCTTCCGACCACAGCAGTCGTGCCAGTCCCGTAACCGGCAGTCCGAAACATCCGCACAGTCCGTCGACGCAGCACAGTCAGCAACAGCAGCAGCAACAGCAACAGCAGCAACAGCTTCACGGCAGTCAGCATCAGCCGCCGCCGTCTCATCAGCAGTCGCGTGATCAGATACGCGATCATCAACAACATCGCGGTGTGCCCACACCCGGATCGCCCACAAGAGGTTCGCCACCCCAGGGCCTACCTCTGAGTCCACCGCCTCTGTCAGCCGGGGGAGGACCGGGAGCGCCACCAGGAATGGTGCCCCGCATGCCAGGACTGCCACCACCGGGGCTAGGACTGCTGGGCCAGCTCGGTGGTATGCTGAGCGGTCACCATGGCTCGCCGCTTGAATTGATGGCAGCTCATCACGCGGTCTTGCCACCGAGATCTTACAACAGTCCACCGCCGATCAGCACTAGCGATCCTACCGCCAACGAGTGCAAGCTGGTCGACTATCGCGGCCAGAAGGTCGCGGCGTTCATCATCGCCGGCGATACAATGCTCTGCCTGCCGCAGGCCTTTGAGCTCTTCCTCAAACATCTCGTGGGTGGCCTTCACACAGTTTACACCAAGCTCAAGCGGCTAGATATCGTGCCGTTGGTGTGTAACGTCGAGCAGGTTAGGATCCTACGCGGCCTCGGTGCCATCCAGCCTGGCGTTAACCGGTGCAAGCTGCTCAGCTGCAAGGACTTCGATATTCTTTATAGGGACTGCACCACGGCCAGGTAGGCGTTACAAAACTTGTAACTGTCTAGACTGTTCATCGATCAGGTCATTGCGATTTATAAACACGGGTATAATTGCAGTTAGATAAAAAGAATTCACGATCTTCTATTTTCGTGATATAGCTGATGATCAGTACTATTAAGATAGCCGCTTCAGACAATATGTTGTGATAGGTGATTTTGATAAAAGTTTGACCTCGTAACCGGTTTCAAAGCGGTTGTCGCTTTGACATTTTCGGAAAAAAACTATAACTTTGGATTAGCAATGACAAGTAACTTGTCAATCGCTAAGACAACCCCGTCTCGATAACAAGAGTGCTCCGGAAGTAGTCTTCGCGTACTGGTCAAACGCGCCTTCCTCGAGTCTCGCTGCAATATACGAACGGAAGCTACTATCCACGCATACATTAATAACGCGTGGTGTCGCCGCTGGGCAACACTTTATCTTCGCCCGTGTATATACCTCCGCTCGGCTTTGGCGCTACCACTCGGGCCAAAAAGTAACTTTAATTGTGCACTACCCACCGCTCCTTAAGACTTGATTATCGTCGAAAACAGCTCCCAGTGACCCTCGGGCCTCTTTGTACGGGCGATTCACGTGCGATCTTCTCATGCATTGAAATTGCTTCGCGAGATTACACTTTGCGGTTTCGGGTGGGAAACGTCGTTCCGAGGCGAATAGCTTTGTTTTATATACGCTTCTCTCTACACGAAAACAAGATCGCGTCAAATTTATTATACGCAACGTACGTGTGTCGTGTCCCGCGTGTCGTAAAGTAACCGCGATTAATTCGATGCATCGTGCGCAAACAGGAAGAGAACCATTGAGATATATATTGAGTCGTGTGTAGCGGCGGCACGTGCTCCTCGTTTCTAGGATTGTCACAGCGAATCCCCGCGCCAACAGGTGTCCCTTTCACGGCAGTTTCTCTGAATGAATCGTCCCCGACACGGGCGTGACGGAGAGTACACCGGGCGGGAGGAAGAGAGACTGATTGTACAAGCTCTCTCACACCCCACCCACGAGGTAAACGACAGACGAAACGGAATGGTAAACGGAACGAGGGGGATTTAAGGTCGTCGGGGAAAGTGTTGTCCTCTTGCGCGGTGTCGTCCGCCACGTTCGCGTCTCTCCGTTCAATTCTCACGTGATTCCGATCGACAGACTCGACAAATCAATCGACGGCAATCCTCGACAAGTTGGTCGTGTCCGATTGTCACAAATTAAATGGAATTTTTCGGAATTTCGGAACGAAATGTCGCGAGTCGCGCGACAAATAGGCAATACTTGTTCGGCGCGCGACGCGCAGCGACAGTCACAACGGAAACGGATTCAACGCGACACGCAGAGAGGGACGAAGCGAGAGGGAACCGAGGGATATCCCGAGGGACAGAGTGAAAGAGCCGGTGATAGCCAGAAGGAGAGAGCAAATACGGGAGGAAGAGGAGGAGGAAGTTCGTAGGGATCGCAGGGATCCAAATAATCCGGAGTCGCAGTCGTAGAACAGAGCTCCGCGAGCCGTCGGCTCGTGCGGGTCTCGCCTTCAACTGTGATTCGTTTCGTTGTCTCGTCAAATTGCTCCTCGCGATATCGTATCCGCCGAGTTGTTGTATCTCGATCGATAGTCAGCTGCTTCGATATCGTGCGAACTCTCCTCGTTTTTTGTTGACTCGTAGATCCGCCTCTCTCTCGTTTTCTATCAGAAATAACGTACTAATCTAAATTGCAACAGAAGAATGGTTTTTTTTCCCGGATAATTTAAACTTCAACAAAAGTCTTTTTACACAAAGGAGAAAAACATACATCAAGTACACGAGAAATATCTAACGTATAAAAACAGAAAATTTAAATAATTGTTTGGTCCAAAATAAAACACACCTCATAAAATACCTATTACCAAGATAATATTTTACTTATCGTTTTTTTCTGTGAAAAAAAAAATAATTCACTTTAGTAATTCCGAGACAAGTTTTATCTAAATTTTCTTATTTGATGTCGACGACCTTTCATAATTTTATAATTTTGAAAATTTGTGTATATCAGTTCTTGTTCACTCTCTCACCATGACACATTTGTCTGTGCAGTTTGTTTGCTCTGTCTAATTGTATATCGTAGAAGTGTTTTTTCACTTGAATTGTCGACTGAAGATGACTTAAATAAAAGTTGAAACGTTTCGACACAAAAACTCGACTATATCTTTGCAAATAACACCCTGCATCTGGTTCCTATTGGCCGATCGTTCTACACAATTATTTTTATAATTTTGTTTTTGAACTCTAGAATACTGGCTCTTTTTTATCTACGTTAACATTCAAGAGATAAAAAACAACTTTTATAAATACATATAACTACAAATAAAGCAATATTTTTACGAAGATATCACATACTCGGGGTATAGTTTCTTAGTATTTTCGTAATCTTTTTGCACGAAAGAAAAAACACTTGAAGGAAGAGTTACAGACGTTCTGGATGAACAATCCAAGTTAAGAGATCAAAGAAGAAAATCTAGTTGTGCGAGATTCTCCTCCGTGTGTGCAGTTTTTCTCGAAAATCTTAGAGACACGTTTCGTTTCGTGACGCGAATCACGTATATGTGTATATATCGATAGGAGAAAAGCGAGATAATGGCCAGCCGTTTGAAAAATAGAATGATCAAGAGGTTTCCGCGGCTTTCCCTATGCGGTCCGGTCGCGTGTACTGCTGACGTCGTTACATTCTGATAATGCACGGCAACGGTAGCGGCAGCAACGGGTACACAAAGCGGAGCTGCACATCTACGACGAGCCAAACACACAGCCATCCACCCACACAAGCACGTAGATACGTGCACATGCATCCGCATACCTATATCAGTGCGCATCGACCCCGTTCTACACTTCTACCCGGACCGACACAACAGCATGCGCCGAGAACCGCACCGATAATTCAGGGGGATTTTTCTTGCGGTTTGCAGCACGAGTGCGCCGGGTGCGTTGTTCGCGTTGTTCGGGCGTATAGAACCGATCGCGTCGCCGGACTCGTCATAATTTTGTGTTTTCGACAGTAATAACGACGTACAAAAAATACAGGTGACGACGACGAATGCGAAGTTACAAATAACACGAGTTCGAATCGCGATGGTGTGTTTGTTTTTAAATATCACTGTTTGTTTCTCGCAAAAAAATTGGCGAGTCTTCATCTCTCGAGAATATATCGTTGTTTCAAAGGTCCTACCACTCCCCGACGAGGGAGGATCTTCTAAGAGAAAAGGAGGTCGTTATCTGATCGAGAAGGCCGACAGATATTCCTGTTACTGGCTCAAAAGTAATCGACTGCGATAATTGCGCGCCGCGTCGTATCCTGTACACGTCGATGCGCGCATAGGGCCCTACGATAATCAGCGAGGAAATAATAATGCGGCCGTGTTGCGCATAGCTAACGAGACGAGTCAATTATATTAATTAATTTGCCTAACTCGGTCGAACGAACGAATGGTTCGGCGTCTCTCGCTCGTCGCAAAAAACCGCCTATTTGAAATCGAGAGCCTTGTAATTGGGAAGAATCCGGGAAAAGAGGTCGGCGCCGCGCGCGGACACGAGACAAAAAAAAAAAAAAAAGATAAAGAACGTGTATTTAAAAACGCGGTTTTCATCTTCGTTCTTTCTATCGAGCGCATGCGACGCTCAATATATATGTGTATATATATTGTACATGTACACACATATAATCTACCTGATGTAACACAGCCAGCTGGAAGTACGTGGGAGTACGCGCGCGGCCCTGGACTATAATTCTATGCGCTATTAGCCATTTAATTATAAAATTGTGCATAGATTAATTGGCTCCCGTAATGGCCCTAACAATGCGCAGACATATTGTGAGAGAACGAAAGACACGAAAGAGGAAAAGGGGAGAGGAAGAAAGAGAAAAGAGAGGGGAATGTAACACAAAGAACGCAGAACTTGATGAAGAAAGAGGAATAAGAGGAGGAAATATGTGCGAGAGATAATAAAAAAAAAAAGAGAGATGGAAGCGGAAAAAAAGCCGTTATTCATATTTATTTCCTCTGTTCGCTCCTCCCAGCTCCTGGTTGTGTGTTGCCATGCGCGTGGTTTCTAACATAAGCTTTTAATATCTATGCGCTCGTGTTAACTGCACGAATACACAAATAGGACTCGGTGAAGTCCTCCCATAAACGTGCTTTCTTTCTCTCCCTCTCTCTTTCTCGTAGCTCTCGAAAAGTATCGTGAGAGATTTATTCGAGAGAAAAGAGTGTTCCTTCTTTTATTCCAGTTGAGGAAAAACATTTTTATACGCGTATCGAAACTTGTCGATAAAATTCGTTTATCGCCTCGCAACCGATTCGGTTTATTTCGCAAATGATTAACGCCACTGCATTCAATATCGCTCAATAACGAATAAAATTGACCGAGGGCCATCGGTCGATTACTTTTGTTACACCAAATGAATGACGATTGTCTTCTTTTTTCTCTTTTTATCTCTTTCTCTCTCTCTCTTTCTCTGTCTTTTTATCTTTCTTTCCCTCCGTACTCATATCTGTTTGGTAATTGTATCGTTTACAGCAGCTGGCAGGCTGCTCTCGGCCTTTCTTCCCGTTCCGTATCCTACACGGGGAATTGGGCCGCCAGTGCGATATTATAAAGGCTCGCATGATCCCATTGTTAGCATTACTTTTCATCGAGATGTACGTACGTTGTGTTGCCACCACTCTCTCTCTCTCTCTCTTTCTCTCTCATGTATGTATATATGCTCGTAGACTCCCCCACGATATGTGCATACGTACATGTGTGTCTCTCCATTAAATCTGCTTGTCGATTAATCCCATACCTAACTGAAAACCAAGTCCGCGCGTTTGCTTTCTCCGTGCACTACTAATACTATCGTGAGAATAATTCAAGCAACTCCAATCGATGAAAACTGCGGCAAGAGAGAAAGACGGATAAACCTTAAACTTTATAATACAAATTAATTATCTAATCTATTATCTCTTTTTTACTGA